TCTAAATGGCGCCAATTACCATATATGGGATAAATATAGAGATCTCCTTTATGGTAACCAAAACTGCATTTGCCCGTGTTTTTGGTTAAGGCAAACCGGGAAGACAAGACTGCATGAGGAATGGGCTATCGAGCAAATTGAACAAGTTTGTGGTTATATTCGGACAAGCGCATGATTTATGTGTACAACCACTCTATGTAAGCGAGACTCACGGCCAGCCAGAACATTATGGGACAAGCATTTAACAGCTATATGCCTCAAAATCCAGGGCCAATAACCAATTATTTTTATTGGACGAAGCTGATTGAATTCAATACCAAGAAGGTACTTTCCTGTTAGCAGATCCACTTGAAGTGGAAATGCAGGCGACTAATTTCACCAGCTGTCAAATATGGGGCATAAAATTGTGATTCAAATCCTCGGCCATATGGTGCCTTGCCTCCTTACCAGGGTTCTTAGGGAGACTTTGAAGAATATCAAAATAAACAAACTCTACACCACAGACTATTCACCAGCTATCAAATATGGGCATAAAATTTGATGATAAAATCCTCGGCCTTATGGTGCTTGCCTCCTTACCAGAGTCATGGGAGACTTTGAAGATATTAATAACAAACTCTACACCACATAGTGGAGTTAGCTGGGAATTTGTTAAAAATGCTGTTCTGAATGAAGAAATGAGACGCAAAGCACATAATCATTCTTCATCTCAGTCAGACATTCTTTTAGCAGATGCTAAAAGAAATAACCAGCCCAGAGAGAGGGGCCAATCTAGAAGTTCATATATAAGAGATAAGAGCAGGGGTAAATCAAACAGATTTGCCAATATTGTGTGCCATCATTGTGGGAAGAAGGGGCACATTAAAAGGTATTGCCGGAAGTTCAAAAGTGACCAGGAGAAGATCAAACGCAAAGCAAAGAAAGAAGAAAGCAGTGATGATGAAGCTAATGTCATTGCTGAGTTCCAACTGTTCATTAAAGACACTATCAATCTTGCAACCCAAGAGACCAGTTGGGTAATTGATAGTGAGGCTACACTTCATGCAACATCTCGAAGAGAAAATTTTTCATCTTACACACCAGACAATCTGGGTGTGGTCAAGATAGCAGACAACAAACTGTTGAAAGTCGTCGGTAAGGGAGATGTTTGCCTGGAGACAGAAAATGGTTCGAGATTAATTTTGAAAGATGTCGTGCATGTACCAGACATGCATTCTAATTTAATCTCGATTGGCAGACTTGATGATGAAAATTTCTGTAGCATTTTCAGAAATGGGCGGTGGAAGCTCACAAAAGGTTCCATGGTGGTAGCAGAAAGATCCAAAGCTGTCTCGAGATACTTTAACTATAACAGAGGATGACAGTAAACTCTCCCAAGACACTTTGAGTGTAGCAGAGAATGACAGTACAGTTGAATTGTGGCATAAACGACTACGCCACATGAGTTAGAAAACTCTGGCAAGAAAGAACGTACTACCTGGATTGGATAAAGTTCACCTAGACAAGTGTCCTGATTGTATGGCAGGAAAGCTCAACAGAGTAGCTTTTAAGATTACCCCTCCTTCTAGAATGAAGAATGTATTAGATCTGGTACATTCAGATCTGTGTTGACCATTGACGGTGTCATATGGTGGAAATCGATACTTCGTTACATTTATCGATGACCATTCTAGGAAGACCTGGGTATACACTTTGAAGTCCAAAGATCAAGTTTTAGATGTTTTTAAACATTTTTCTTAAACAATTTTCTAAACTTATCTGAGCCCGACAGACAGGCAAGAAGCTGAAAATGCATCAAGAACAGATATGGTGAGAATACACTGGGCCATTTGAGCCATTTGATACTTTCTGCAAAGAGCATGGTATTCGACATCAAACAACACCTCCCAAGACGCCGCAACTGAATGGTTTGGCTGAGAGGATGAATAGAACTTAAATGGAGAGAGTCAGATGTTTATTCTCACATGTAAAGTTGTCTAAAAGATTTTGGGGGTGAAGCTCTTCTTACAGCAGTTCATCTTATAAATCGTTCACCTTGTGTTCCTCTACAGTATGATACTCCAGAAAGAGTATGGTCAGGAAAGGATGTTTCCTATGATCACTTGCGGGTGTTTGGTTGCAAAACATTTGTGCATATTCCTAAGGATGAGGGGTCTAAGCTTGATGTCAAGACTCGAAAATGTGTATTCATTGGCTATGGCCAAGATCAATTTGGCTATAAATTTTTTTATCCACTCCAGAAAAAGATGATAAGAAGTAGAGATGCTTTATTTGTTAAAAATCAGACTATTGAAGATGTTGAAAAGACTCAGAAGCAAGCTGCCGATAGATCCGAAGATGATTCAACAGATGTACAAATAGTTCCTCCAGCAACAGGATAAAGACAAGTTGGAGATGAAGAAACTATTCCACAAGAACAAGAGCCAGAGTTAGAAAATCCAGAAGTTCCTTATCAGAATGAACCAGAAGAAGATTTTGACAGAATGAAACCAGAAGATGATTTTTGATGGTGTTCCTGTTCAGCTACCAGCACCAGAAAGGTTCTCAAACATTAAGAAAGGTCTAGTAGAGTCAACAACCAATCTACTAGATATTCAGCAAATGGAATATGTATTGATGACTGACGGGGAGAACCTGAATGCTTTGAAGAAGCAAGGAAAGTGAACAACAAAAAGGAACTGGAATGAAGCCCATGCAAAGAAAGAAATGAAATCCTTGCATGAAAATAAAACATTTGAGCTGGTAAAGTTGCCCAAAGGCAGAAAGCTTTTGAAGAACAAGTGGGTGTTCAGGATCAAGCAGGAAGAACACAGCTCCCAACCACGATTCAAAGCTAGACTGGTTGTGAAAAGGATTCAATCAAGAAAAGGAGTATTGATATTTTGATGAAATCTTTTTCTTTCACCAGTTGTGAAAATGACATCCATTCGGACAGTGCTCGGAATGGCCGCCAATTTTGATCTGGAAATCGAGCAAATGGATGTAAAGATTGCCTTCCTATATGGAGAGTTGGAAGAAGAAATATACATGGAGCAGCCAGAGGGTTTCATAAAAAAGGGGAAAGAAGATTATGTTTGTAAACTGAAGAAGATCCTGTACGGCTTGAAGCAGGTTCCAAGACAGTGGTACAAGAAGTTTGAGTCTGTTATGGGGGAGCAAGATTACAAAAAGACCACTTCAGATCACTGTGTCTTCGTAAAGAAATTCTCTGATGAATGATACATTATCTCGTGCTCTATGTAGAATGATATGGTTTGGATTGTTGGTCCAGAATTCCTTGTCAAGAATTAAATAGCCTTGAAAGAAACAGCTAAGTAAGTCTTTTGCTATGAAGACTTGGGACAGCAAAGCAGATTCTTGGTATGAAGATTACAGAGAAAATGCGAAGAACCAAAGAAAAATTAATGGTTGTCAACAAGGAAGAAGTAACATTGAGAAAGTATTCAAAAGTTTAAAAATGGAAAAATTCTTTAAAGCGGTTAGTTGTCCTCCTTGCTAATCACTTTAAAATTAAGCTCAAAACAGTTGCCCTTGCTACTGATGGAGAGAAGGAAGAGATTGGAAAAGATTCCATAATGCTTCAGCAGTTGGAAGCTTAAATGTATGCCAATGGGTTTTGTACACGGCCAGATATTGCTCATTCAGTCGGGAGTAGTGAGTCGGTTTCTTTCAAATCCTGGAAAGGAACATGGGGCTAGCAGTAAATGGATTTTTTCAGATATCTTCGAGGTACGCACAAGTATGTTTTTCATGCTTTGAGATGAGAAGCCAATATTAGTGGGTTATACTGATGCAAGATATGGCTGGGGAATGTTTGAACTCGAGAAGTCCACATCAAGGGTATCTAATCACATTTGCAAGGGGAGCTGTTGTCATGGCATCAAGATTTGCGAAGTGTGTGTGCTTTATCAACAACTGAAGCAGAATTCATAGCACCTACCAGAAGCATGCAAAGAGTTGCTGTGGATGAAGAAGTTTCTTGAATGAATTCATCAAGAACGATATTTGATATTCTGTGATAGTCAGAGTGCGATTCATCTTGGGAAGAATTCCTCCTTTCATTCAAGATCAAAGCACATTGATGTTAAATATCATTGGATCAGGGATGTATTGGAGATGAAGCAGTTACAGCTTGAAAAGATCCATACAGATGAAAATGGATCAGATATGTTAACGAAGATTCTTCCAAAAGACAAATTTGAATATTGCTGATTAGCTGCAGGGATGATGGAGAGTTTGGCTGACGTCCTCACTTGAGCGTGCAGGGGGAGATTTGTTGGTGGTGGTGTGCCCACTCAAGTGTTGCCCACTCAAGTGGGACCCCACACAATTATGAAAGAAGAAAAAAAAAAAAATCCAAAAGGTTTGGCAACCACCATTGAAATGGTTGCATGCCAGTTGAAAATAATGAAGAGCCGTGCAATGAGCAATGCACGCTCTCTCAAATCTTGCTATAAATTAGAGGCAGGAGCATTCAGCACAGACGCACCAAAAAGAGGCAACGAAAGATAAGTGAGAAAAAATAGAGAGTTTTTTATGAGTTTTTTAAGAAAGGGTTCTTAAAAACGAAGGGTTTGAAAATAGTGAAATTAATTAGGGTATTTTTGGGAAACACTTGTGAGTGCCACTAGTTTTGTATTCTCCTTTGTTAAAGCCTACTAAATTTTTTAAATAGTGGAAGAAATATTCGAGTTGGTCCCGTGGACGTAGCCCCTAAAACAGACAGTTGAGGGTGAACCACGTAAATTTCTACGTGTCCCAATTTTAATATTTTCGCTGCTTAATTATTCTCGTATTTTTATTGCCGGTATCCTAACAAGTGGTATCAGAGCTGATTTCCTAACATGCTACCCCTGGAAATTTGGATTTAATTAAAAGCTTGGGAGTGGATTTGCCAATTGATTACACCAAGGAAAAATATGAAGATCTATTCATGATTAATAAATCATATTTATATATACGCCACGCCTTACTAATATCTTGCACTTCCTTACTGCGTACGTTAATTTTCCCTCACAGAAACAACAATATATATTACAAGAACTCTTGAACTCAAAATCAAACTCTAAATATATGGAGAAACTGTGTCCTGAGAAATCATCACATTATAGAGCAAGCATGAGGATTTTCATCACTGAACATGTCACTAGCCTGTTCATCAACAGCAATTGAATACGGTGGCGTTTGGTAATAGCCATAGTCCTCATTACTGTATCCATGCTTTCGGTAGTTGTAAGAGGAAGTGGAGTACTGAGTTTCATAATAGGTGAGTGCAGCTGGTTGGGTTTCTAGTTTCTGCAGACAGTAATACTGTTGGTTGAAGTTATAGTATTCAGGATTATAAGGGTACGGCCATAGCTCTGCTCTTCTTCCTGTCTTCCTTACTGCTTTAAGAACCTTCTTCTGGTCTGCCCAACCCATTACTGTCACCTTTTGCATGGCCATGTCTATGTCTGTATCATCAATTCCTGTACAAACAACAAAAATATAAATTTAGTTACCATAAATTAATTAAAGTTTAAACCCTTCTCTTAAAAGAAGAGGAAGAAAAGGAAATCAATATACACACCATCTACTTTCTGAAGAGCCTTCTTGATTTTGGTCTCGCAGCCAGCACAATCCATTAAAAGATAACAGATGAATTAAGGTTTTCCCCAATGTATTTCAGTTGCTACTGTACAACACTTTAAATAGAGAGAGCAGTTACAATATGGCAAGTTTACAATATGATAACTTAACAACCTGTAATACTTAGCTATAGAAACGGCTAATCCTTATCTTATCAACTTAAGGACTTAATACTCCCGCCGCAAGATTGAGGTTCCACAACGAACACCAATTCTTGTATCGATTTGTCGCAAAATATGGACCTTGGCAATGCTTTTGTCACAAATTCTGCCAATTGTCCTTAGAAGAAACATGAAGCAATTCGAATCTTGCCTTTTTTTGAACCAAATCACGCACGAAGTGTAATATCAAACTCTCGATGTGCTTCATCTTGGAATGATAAACCGGATTGTGACAAGCATATGTGGCTGAAACATTATCACAATATAATACTGGACAAGAAATAGAGCTATTCGAACAACCCAACTCAACCAACAATGATTGTACCCAAACCATTTCTGATATTGCTGATGCCACTGCTCTATATTCAGCTTCGGTTGATGACCGTGCTACTGATATTTGCTTCCTAGAAGACCAAGAAATAGGTACAGATCCCAAATACAAAACAAATCCAGTTGTAGACATTCTATCAATTGGATCACCTGCCCAATCGGCATCCGAAAAGGCATGAAATTGCAAAGAAGTGTGAGGAGACACAAGAATCCCATGATCAATTGTAGACTTCAAATATCTCATCAGACGTTTGAGGGCCTCCCAATGTTTAGCAGTGGGTTTCTGCATAAACTGGGATAATTTATTGACTGAATACCTGCATAAACTGGGATAAATTTTAATTGGACTGAATAACAAAATATCCCCGGGCGTGGTCCCAAAGTCAAATACTGCAAAGCTCCCCCACCATTTTTCTTCCCGAAAAAACCTGTACCCATCACAATGAACTTATCATCATCCATTTTTAATAAACGCAATAATAGCTGTCGTGGCAAATAGGTGTTCTAGAACCGGCCTTGAAACCATCCATTTTCGTTGTAAGTAAAAGCCGAAGTAATGATATATGATGTTGTGATAAAGCAAAAAGTCCATCTTTGCACCGAATGGAATCAATTCCCCAAAAAGAAAATGTAAAGGCTGTGGCTCCTTAAGGGTGAAACTTAGAAAGCAAGTTCTTTTCTCGCAATTAAAAAAACCGAATAAGCTTGGACTATTTCCATGTGAGATAGTAAATCATCAACATAAGACTAAGAAATAGCAAACTACAAAAAAACCATCCGTTACAAATACAAAAACAAAGAATGATCACATATTGGATTGACATAAAACAAAATCCCAAAACACACTTTCCGTAAAGGCCCTGATACCAAAAAGCTCGTGGAGCTTGGTCGAAGGCCAATAACCAAGCGCCTTCAACCAAATTTACAGAACATGATTTGGCTTAGAAAGATTATTCAAACAAATCCCGGGTGAACTGTCTCATATAAACATCTTCCTGTAAAAGGCCCATGAAGAATGCGTTATTAACATCTAATTGGTCTGATGTCCCAACACCTTTTTGTCCACTGCAAGTGTAAGAAATAAACCCGAATTGGTTTGCTGGCTTTAAAAACAGGACTAAATGTTTTCTCTTCAAAATATCACCCCCGGTCTCTGACTGTTAACCCTTTGCAACCAAGCGCGCTTTATACTTTGCAATACGCCCATCCTGGTCTTTTTTTTTCAATCAACCGAAAGATCCATTTGCAACCAACCAAATTTTGGAATTTCCCTGTCAGGAGGCACTAATAACCAAGTTTCCTTAGAAGAATTATGCATTATATTCATGGATTCTTTTTCAACCGAAAGATCCATTTGTAACCCACCAAATTTTGATTCCTGTCAGGAGGCACTAATAACCAAGTTCCATTAGAGATTAACGCATTATATTCATCAGACATAGCAGCACGCCACTCATTATGATTTAAAGCTTGCGAAACACATGTTGGTTCAATAGCAACAGGTAAAGGATATTTAGTGACTAGATTAAGACGTTTAGGCTTGAAAATATTATTTTGGGATCTAGTTCTCATAGGGTGCATTCACGCAACAGGATTGGAAACAGAAACAGGATCTGATACAACTTGCAATGGGACAGGATTAGACTCGATTAACTCAGACTCTGGAACAGCTACTTCGACTAGAACAGAAAGTGAAGCAGCTACGTTATTTGGAGAATGAGTGATAGCTAAACCAGAAGATAACAAGTCAGTAGAAGAAGTGTCATTATTAGAAGAGTAAAACGGAACAGTCTATACAGGAGGAGCATAATTGATAATAGAAAGATCATACCAAGAATTGACAGGGGCTGTAGCATTCTCCAGTTTATCTTGACCTGGAAAAATCATTTCACAAAACTGCACATGTCTAGAAACATAAAGTCTACCACTATTATAATCATAACAAAGATAAGCACTCTGGTTTGAAGAGTATCCCAAAAAGATACAAGGTTTAGACTTTATATCAAATTTATTTTTGGCATAAGGTCGAAGACACGGGTAGCATAAACAACCAAAAACCCTCAAACTATTATAATTTGGATGTTGACCAAGAAGCTTATAATAAGGCGACAAATAACCAAAAATTGGAGTTGGGAGTCTATTAATTAAATATGCTGCAGTTTTAAAAGGAAGCTTATAATAAGGCGACAAATAACCAAAAATTGGAGTTGGGAGTCTATTAATTAAATATGCTGCAGTTTTAAAAGCATAAGACCAGTATGTTTTCGGCAAAGAGGCTGAATGAAGAAGAGTAAGCCCAGTTTCAACCAAATGTCTATGCCGACGTTCTGTTGCCCCATTATGTTGAGGAGTGTGAGGTGGTGTTAGAAGATGAGAAATACCATTATTTTGAAAAATTGATCCCAAAGCAGTATATTCACCTCCCCCATCAGAGACACAATTTTAGTGGAAAACTTATTCTCAACAAGCTTTTGAAACACGGGAAAGATTGTAGAAACATCAGACTTGAATTTTAAAGGAAACAAACAAATATATCTCGTAAAATGGTCAACAAAAATAACATAATATTTGAACCCATCAACAGATTCAACAGGAGTAGGACCCCACAAGTCTGAATATAATAACTCTAAAGGACGAGAACTTTTTAAAGACGACGTCCCAAACGCGAGTCTATGACTCTTATTACATTGACAAGAATCACAATTAAAGCTTTCACTAAGAGAAACAGGCAAACTGAATTTAGACAAAATATAACTTATAACTTGAGATTTTCTTGGACGGATGACCCAGACGATTATGCCAAAACAACGAAGATGCACGAACACTAACACAAGCTTGAGGACTAGAAGCCAATCGGTCTTTAGACAAAGACGACAGACGATACAAGGAATCCTTAATTCGCCCTTTTGCCCCTTATTGTTATGATCTTCCCTCCCCGTGACCCAGATCTTCACGAAGAAAACAATCAAAGAAAAAATTTCAATGGAACACATTATTCTGTAAACAAAATCACACGAACAAGAGACAGATGATGAAGAATTCCTCTCTAGTTTTAGAACACAACAACACATTAGTAGAGAGCATGTCTTTGAAGGAAATAAGGAAATAGAACGCTGTGAACCAACCATGTGTAATTCAAGCAAACCTGATCCATCAGTCAAATGAAGCTCATCAAAGGCCATCCAATATGGAGCACAAGTGAAGAGATTCTGTAAATTCATTGGTGACATGATGAGTTGCCCAAGTATCAAGAACCAGCCAGCTTGTTGTCAGGAGAAGCAGAAGAAAGTAACTGAAATTTGCCGTGGTTGAAGGAAAATTGTTTCTTGAAAAAATTCTTTGCCTTAAAGCATGTTTTGCCTGATGACCATCACAAGCAATCTGGACAAGTAATCCTTCGAACCGCTGGACCATGATGAGTTGCCCCAGTATCAAGAACCCAGCTGTTGTCAGGAGAAGCAGAAGAAGTAACTGAATTTGCCCGTGGTTGAGGAAAATTGTTCTTGAAAAAATTCTTTGCCTTAAAGCATTGTTTTGCTGAGTGACCAGGTCGATCACAAATTTGGCAAGGAATCTTCGACCGACCACTATTGTTCATCTGTCGACCTTGAGAGTCAAGAGGAAAGTTAGACTTATCAACAGGAGTATCGTTCTTTCGAAAAGAAGATCCTTTCCGAACAGAATTTACAGTAACTGGCACCACTTCAAAAGTTAGATCAGTGCGTTTGAGATACAACTCATGTGCAAGAAGCTTGTCTTCTAATTCTTCAAACGAGATTACAGAATCACGAGCACGCACAACCGCTGCTATTTCCTTAAACTCAGGTCCAATTCCATTGAGCACATAAATAACTAAATCAATAGCAGATACTGGACTTCCACAAAGAGATAAATCATCAGAGACAACTTTAACCATCTGCAAATACTCAGAAACTGACCTGGATTCCCTTTTAAAATGAGATAATTTTTCACAAAGAGAGATGATTCTAGTCACAGATTTGTTTGCAAAGGAACTTTGAATCCGATCCCAGGCATCGGCAGAGTTATCGGCCGAATTAACCACATGCATAGCAGAAAAACTTGTAGCACTTATAATGGCAGCCAAAATCAATTGATCTTGACACACCCTGAACTCATAATTAGAATTCGGTACCTCCTTCCCATCTTTCTATATAACCAAAGGAGGAGGAGAAATCTTTCGCTCAACATACCCAATCAAACCATAACCCCTAAGGACAGGAACCACCTGAGCACGCTAGGAAGGATAATTTTGGGATGTTAACTTTAAAGGAAACTGAGAAGAATTGAATGAAATCAAGGTACGGCCAGAAGAGTGGGTAATATTTGGAACATTCGATGATGAAGCCATGAAATCTAGCAATAGAGTCGAATGAAAAGATAAAAGGGGAAAAAAAACAGAGATCTAATCTTGGATGATTAGAAATGTATAAGAAAAAAAAAACCGTAGTTTTTACGGCTCTGATACCATAAAAGATAACAGATGAACTAATTTTTACGGCTCTGATACCATAAAAGATAACAGATGAATTAAGGTTTTCCCCAATGTATTTCAGTTGCTACTGTACAACACTTTAAATAGAGAGAGCAGTTACAATATGATAACTTACAACATGTAATACTTAGCTATAGAAACGGCTAATCCTTATCTTATCACTTAGGACTTAATATCCATATGCGCTCTCATTTCTGTGATCTGCAACATAAGGAATATAAGCTTCATATTTATGTTGCATTTGCAATGGACACAAGCAATGAAGAAAACACGCAGTACCTAGCAAATGACCGGAGACAGAGAGAACTAACCGTCATATTGTTGGGAGTTTGTGAGAAATCTTTAAGTTTTGGTCTCTTAGATATGTGTTTTTTATGAAAATAATGGTGTATGTATACATATGGAGAGAGATATATATATACATCTTGGGAGGTAAGGCAAAAGAGAAAAGAGGGATAAGAAAGAATAAAATAGTAAATAGTCCCCATTGACTTTTTTTATTTTTCCCTTTTGTTTATATTCAACTTGCTTCTAAGCGACAAAACTTGGGCCAAAGTGCATAGCAGCTGCTTGCAAGTCAGATTATTAGAGGTGGTACCTTACCTTCCATGAGCTCATCATCAATGTCTACCCTTACAAGAAAAAGTGGTGTCCTTTCGTTTCACTTTCTGCTGTTGAATCTAAATTTGAGAATTGTTTACCTATGATTTTGGACGTGGTTATCTTTTTTAATGTATGTAATAATGAAAATTTTAAAAAATGAAAGATATTTTTAGTTAACTTTTTTCCCAACTCCTGAATGCTAAAAATTTATTTAATTAAAATTGAATTAGAAATTTTTACTTTTTTAATTTCTAAAAATGCTCATAGACAAATAATATTCGTTGTGTACTATTCTTTATTTGTTTTTGCTTGCTTGGAACTCTATTACATGTGGTTTTGGCAAAATTAATGGCTATATATATTGATGATGGTACCAGAAAATGAACGGAAAAAGCAACATGAAATGAAATTGATATCCATCCTATTTCAATCTTAGATTGCTTAATTTCTTGGCACTTGTAACGAAGAAAGTTCTTGTTCTTTGACCTTTAATTAATGTTTTTGAATTTGATACGACTGCAATTTCAAAGAGGGTATTTATAGTTTCAGTAGTTTATATATAGTGTCAAAGGGATTGAGACTGATCGTCGAAGCAAGGATGGAATTAAATTTTAAGTATTAAAGAGAGCAAAAATTAAAAAAGAAAAACTTGGTGCAACATGGATATTCTAAAAACATATTAAATTCAAATGACAAAAGTTATAGAGAAGCCAATGTTTGTGCAGATTAGATGGCTCGTCATGGTTCAACTTTGGCTATTATACTCCTTCTCACGGCCTTCTTAGTCTTCTGTTGCATAATATTTGTGGGTTTCCTACCCTAGAAACATACTGATGTAATTTGCGTTCCTTTCTTCTTATTTAAAAAAATGACAAAAATTAAATTTCGAAATATTTTGGAAATCAATAAAAGTATTTCTGAAAATATATGTGTAAAAATAAAATTTTAAAGAAGTTAGAGGCAATGGCTCGATGGAGCCATAAGAGTAGCCTCTCTTGATTTTTGAAAACTTTCTTTAGCTCCCTCTGATTGAAAACTTGAATTTCAGCAAGTACAGGAACCGTACCAGAAAAACGGGGGCTGGAAGATAAACATCTCAACTGGCTCGCTTCTTGGATTTTTCTGGTAAAGCAATCAATTAATTGTCCAGTCCATTGTCATAAGTAGCAATCAAAGTTTTGACGAAGAAAATTAAAATATTTTTATGCTATAAAATTAAGCAGAAGATTGAACATATTTGGTGATTTTAAATTGACTTCAAGTCGTTAATAATGATTTTGGTTGACCTAAAGTCATCTCAAAGCAGTATTGTTTATTGAATTGTTTAATTAGTTCCAATGGTATAAGGTTTGAGGCTGACTATCATTTTGGAGAATCTATTGATCATATGGCAATGTCATCTAAAAATAAATTATTGATTAATTAAGTTCCATGGTTTAGAGCTCAAAAATAAAAGATTAATGTAACTAGCTACCACTCCATGAGGGGGTAAATCATCAATATTACATGTTATTTTTCATATAAATGTATGAATATTGCAAATTTGCAATGACCAGGCATTCAAGATCCGATTTACACAACACATGAAACAAAAAGCTTAGGTGTTTCAGTTTTGCTTGATTAGTTCAATATAAAACGTTTGGTACATCTATATTAGATACTTATGTTTTATATGTATAGAAACATAAGTGAAAACTTAAACTTAGACTACAACTTTGTTTAGCTTCAGAATTTGTCCCATCACAGAAACCCCACAATCAGCATATATTCATATGAGATACTGAATTGTAGAGATACTGAATTGTAGAGGCCAAAAGTACTCTCATGCAGGGAAATGAGAAAAACAAGTAGTTAACTCTGTTTGTTACCTATATCTGGCAGTTCAACAATCAAGCATACCTGTAGAGATTGAATTAGAACCCAGTTTACTTTTTGGATCCAAACGCCAGTAGTGTCATCACCCCTCTCCTGTCTTTCTCCTTTTCACACAGGTGCCCGAGTAGAATATTTTTCTGCAGTCACAAATGGCTCAATTCAGTCTGGGACAAAATAATGCTTACTGATAACCAGATGCGAACCTCAGACAATAGAACAAAATACAAGCAGTCAAAACAGGTAAATACAGATCAATCACAAGAGATTAGAAACAATTCTTTTATAGACAGCCTGAAATTACCGCCAAGAACAGGCCACCAGCCTACCACTAGTAGCTTCTTGATCTATTTCTGATTCTATATGGAATTTTTGATAATATTACATACATTAAACTTACTCATAGTTTTCATTAAACTTTCTACTAGTACCACAAGCAGAACTGTGTGTTCTGATGAGAAACAGCATCATAGCGAATGCAGGTAATGTGCAGACTTGTTTTCCAAGTCATCAGCAAAAAAAACATTTACTAATTGCATTAAACATTTAAACCAGGGTAGAGGCCAGTTTAAAGCAAACCAATTCTGGAGGTTAATACAATGCTAGTCACTTTGGTTTGCTAGTCACTTTGGTTTCTCCTTTTAAATTTGTCTTACTGAGATGATTACTTGGTATAAATAAAGGCATTATCTCAGTAATTTCAATCGAACAAATTACCTTCAAAGTGAGTGATTAAAAAGAAAGTGAGAAACTAGAAACACATCAGACCATGGCAGAGAAGGAAGGAGGAATTGTCAAGAAGGGTCATGAAGAGGGGCTAAAACTGGCAACTTCTCTTCTTGAGGAGTTTGGACTTCCTTTGGGACTTCTACCACTAGAAGATGTGATCGAAGTTGGTTTTGTTAGGAATACGGGATAAATGTGGATCCTGCAAAAAAAGAAGGTCGAGCACAACTTCAAGATGATCAGCAAGCTTGTCAGCTATGATAGTGAAATAACTGGTTATGTCAGCAAGAAGTTGATCAAGAAACTCAAGGGAGTAAAGGCTAAGGAGCTCATGCTTTGGCCTCCCATTATTGAGATAATTGTTGATAACCCGCCCACTGGTAAAATTCACTTCAAGAGACTTGCCAGCATCACCAAAACTTTCCCAGTTGGGGCATTTGCTGGTGGCCAATAAGTTGTTGAAGGGTCCATCAGGCACCTGCAAAAATTTTATGTGCTTTTACATCTTAAATGTAGTTGTCCATTTGCTGCATTATATTTCCATCCATCATTTTGCAATTCCCTTATCAAGGAGTTGTTGACCAATCAAACCAGTGTTTAGAAAGAAAGACAATAAAATTCAAGATATGATGTTTTTATCACATAATATTGTTAGGCAACTTCATCTCAATTGTACTGGCTAAAGTGGACAAGATCATTAATCTTACCCAAGCAAAACTCTCCCTCTCTGAATACAAAAGGATTTGAATTATTATTGATAAAAAGATTTTGGGCGTGGTAATTCTTCTAATTCCATAGCTAATTTGCTAAGTAAGCCTTTTATAGAGAAATAAGGAATGAAGACTAGTGGATCAAGGAAAACGGATAAGCTATAAAGTAATGCTGATAAAAGTACGAAGTTCATAGAATAAGTGATTTTGAGAAAGTAAATGGCAAAATTCAAGCATGTAGAGAGAGATTCCATGAAACAATCAAACAGAGAACAATACCTCAAGATGAAAGGTAAAATTAGAACTTGAACATACGGGTAAGCTGCAACTTACCAGAATAACAAGAGTGTGTATACAGCATATATTTAAATATTAAATATGACAATGAACATGTCAAAATTGTCATTGAACTCTTAAATAGTTGTAGAAACTCTTAAATAAGTTGTCAAGATTTACCAAAAAAAAAAAAAAAAAAAAAAAAAAAAAAAAAAAAAAATAAACAATAAAAAAAAAAAAAAGAAAAAACATTTTAAAAGCAAAAAAAAAAAAAAAAAGAAGGAAAAAAAAAGAAGGAAATTGATGTTTTTGTTCCTGTAAAAATATAAACAAAGTATCTTGCTCAAGAAAAAGAAGTTAAATTTTCCCTGTACCTTTACGAGTGTTCTCCAAAATTTTCTCTTCAACAATAAAGGTTCCAATAAAAATATTAAAAATGTTCAGCCTCCTTGCTGGAACCTCTCACACCATTCCAGAATTGAAAACATGCAAGTCCAGCAAAGTATTGTAGTGCCCCTTCTCAATTTCATCCTCTTTCACCTGATGAAGAAGGAGGGTCTCAATGACAAAATCTTCCCAATCAAGTCCTTTTGCCCTTAGCAAAGTATTGTAGTGCCCCTTCTCAATTTCATCCTCTTTCACCTGATGAAGAAGGAGGGTCTCAATGACAAAATCTTCCCAATCAAGTCCTTTTGCCCTTGCTTTTCTTTTTCTCTTCCGAGCTTCCAGAAAGCAAAAGTCACTACCAACACCTGAATCAGCATTCCGTGGATGCATAACCCTTTCAATACGAAGCTTTGCAGCATTTATCTTTGCCCTTCTCCTCTCAACTGCCATATGGCCATTAACAAAAGAAGGAGGCATAGGATTTAATCCCACATCTTTTTCTAATATTCGTTTCAGCAAAAGCTTCTTGCTTAAATCTGATTTCCCATCCCACCATTCAGTTGGATGAAGATCAAACACTCTATTCCTTTTCGTACTATTAACTCTTTCAACATTTCCAGCATATTTACCTCTTCCACCCTCATTTAAGAACTTGTCATAAGCCAAGGACAAGCACTCATGTGAAAGCTGAAGCTTATCCACATCATTGTCTCCCATGTTATTCAAGCCTTGTCTATTTCTGACCTCAAAATATCGAGAATCATCACATTCTGTGCTATCATCCTCAACCCCATACTCAACATCCTTCCTCAAACACTGACTAACCACCTCCCCAAAATCAAATTCAATATAACCCAAACCGTCCCCCTGTCCATCAGACTTTGCCATCGACTTGATCTCCATATACCGAATCACAAATGGTGCGTTCTTCACAATATTCTTCAAGGTCACATCCTTCCCCCATGGCAATGCCTGTGCAACTTTCACAAGTGCCTCTAACAACTCCTTATACCTCAATCTACATGTAGACACTGCTGCATGCATATCCCTAGCCACCTCCTCAATTTTCACACACTCAACCCCATTCAACTCTGCCACCAACACTAGCACCGCTGCCACAATAGGCAAGGGCCTTCTCCCTGTGGTTAAAAACCACTTAATCCCACATTGTATCAAAAACACCCCTTGTTCCCGCATTCTTTCAACTTTATCACTGTCAACCCTCCCTGTATCCAATAAATTCCTCACAGCCTTCTCAAATGATGTCACTATATCAAACTCAGGCAGCTTTATATTCAAATGATCAACAACACGCCTTATCATTCTACCCAATTCATAAACATCACAACCAATCACATTACCAATTTCTGCAACAGACAAAGATTTATTATCACTTCTCACTACGATATAAGCACACGCACCTATCAAAACTGGAAACCACTCACCTTGCCCAAACTCACTTTCAGTAACTTTATCGATCATGGACTTAATTTCGCTAACTTTTTTGCCTACTAAATCCAATCTGAAGGTTATTTCATCAATAAGCTTATTTGCCTCGTAAAGTTTTTTGTCTCGGTAATTTAAGACACTACCAGTACCTGAAGTTCCCAGACGAATTAACACGCCTTCTGGACCATTGATGCCGCCGGTGCGAGCCTCATAGTTATCGTATTCTTGGACGGTGCCACATGATTCGCATACCAGGTTGCCGGTGCTGTCGTCGCGGATTAGGGATCTGTCTCCGCAACTTATACATGGCATGACGAGAGAGGTGTGCGTTTATTGTGTTTGGTTGCCAAGAAAATTTGTACTTTCCGCAAAAGTTTGGCAACCTGAGAGCGAGAGTGGAATGGAGTTCAATACAAAAGAAGGACAATCCAGACGAAATTGAAATCGAGAGAATAAATAACGAATGACTGGAAATTTTTAACAGTTTCATCTGAAATTACAATAATACCCATACCCTCACCAATGCACTCTTTTCCAACTCTAAATTATGAAGATCTACTTGTTTGTTGATATATTGAATATTTAATTATTTTAATACTGTAATTAAATAGGATTAACAGTAATTAATTATTTCTCGTTTGGACTACAGAAAATAGCCATGAGACTTCTTGGTTACATCAAAGCTATTACTATTACTCTGCAATATCCTATAGCTGTTAAAATCTATTAACTTTTATGTTCGTTCACAGCTTAGATGCTGAGTATTGATTTATTTTATTTTATTTTATTTTATTTTACAGCTGTTTCGTGCAATGCAAAGGTAAATTTGCCAAAAGAGAATAATAAAAAGAAATTTAGAACTTATAATGACAGCCACTGTTCAGTCAACTTGGCATTTCTATCCACCTATAATTCCAAGGATTTCACTGCTTTCTGTTGCACCAAATACAATACGACTCTATATGAAGCATTCATCTAATCTGCTTTTATGCAGCTGAAATGCAGGATTAACCCATGTTCCACAGTTGCATTGCATTCCCGCCCAGTTGAAGGAACCCAAGCGTGGTTTGCAGCCCATGCACTGAAGTTTCTCTCCTACAAGGCCTTCTCCAACAAACCCTTCTTGTACTGATCAATACAAAAATCAATTTAATTAGTGTTATAAATAAAAACAATACCATTTGCAATGTATAGTAGGATAGTTACAGTTTATGGTCACCTGTTTGCATCCACTTCATGGGCTCTACAAATATGGAGGAGCATTCAGTGGTTTCCTTCTCCTGGGGGTCACCACTTCTCTTTTTCCATTTGAAGCATTGCTCTCCCTTTCCACGCTCATGAGGAACTATGTTCTCTTCTGATGCAACAATTCTTCGACATTTTTTACAGCGGTAAATAACTTGAGGTTTTGGGACAGAGTACAAATGAGAGTTACTGGCTCCTATCTCAGGCCTTGAAACAGAGTTATCCATTGTTGTCATTGCTCACATTTGCTCAATCAGAGGCATTGCTCATCTAATCAAGAAACAAACGATAGATAAACAAAGCTATAATAGGAAACCTAACAGAATCATAAATTTGCAATTACTCATCCTTGTCAAAGTTGAGTAATTATTAAGAACTTAACCCTGCATTATTTTACTCCCTATTAGATTTATCATAGAAACCATCAACTTTAGAAGTACGTTTTCCTCTCTCATTCAGTGCTTGAAACCCAAACCTTTTTCCACCAAAAATAATTCCAACATTCTGTCATGCGGAAAATTGATTTCTTATAAATATCAAACTACTTTTCTCTGTATTGCTTTAGTAAGTGAAGCAATATACAATTTTCAGAATTCAAAGCTCTTCAACACATGAAGTACACCATAAAAATCTGTAAGGAAGTTAGTGTTAATAGGCTAGAGGTCTTCCAGAAATTCAGACCAGCCCCAAAACTTATAATAATTTCCAGAACTCAAATATGAAAAAGAACAAAAATATAGATAAAGCATCAAAACGGTGAAAGTAAGGGAGACTTTTATTTTTCTCAAAACTGAAAGATAAACAAACTTTGCATAATCCCAATTTTGCTGTAAAATTTGAAAAAAAATTATTAAATAAATTTCTCTCGCGTCTCTCCCTATATATATCCCCACAGTTCACTGCGCATTTACCATTGTTTGCTGCGCGTTTACCATTGTCTGCCTCTCAAGCCTTAAGTTGAAAGATGAGTGCACAATAGTATTCTATTAAAATTAATTCCTATAGTAGATAAACCAAAACAATTTATTAAAAAACACAATATCGCAAGAAAAGGAAACCCTTGACATGGAAGAAGGAGAACTTGAGAGCTGGTTTTACATTAAAGTCTGAGGTTAATTCTAGGGCTATGCGATTACGGTTACTGAAGATGCAACAATAATCGGATCAAAACAAAAGACATAAAAAATTAAAATGAGGAATAGAGAAAGGTTACCTTGATCGGGGCTCCTTCACTGGTCCAATTGCTAGGGTTTTTCTTCTGCACTATTTTAGGAAATTTGTTACAGAGGCAACAACGACATAGTTTAAACTTACTATCTGAAATCCAAGTCATGATAATCTTTAAGCCAAGTTTCAAACACCTCATCAAATGATGTCGGGCGTGCAAATTTTGCTTCGTCATTGCTATGACATGTCATAAACCCTCACCCACATAAGTCAACGCAGACACGCCATCTATGATCCAAAATGTGCAACGGATCCCACGTCATCAAATGGCGCCAAGTGTCCGCGCATGCCACGTCAAGTAATAGCTGTGCGACACGCCATCAGTGGATGACAGGTCACATGGTCCCAAGTGTACAAATCTTACAACGTAAAAATTAATTCTGAAACACGTCATCAAATGTAGCCAGGTGTCCAAGTGTGCCACATCAAAGAAATAGTTGTGCGACGGGTTATCAGTGGTGACAGGTCAAATGTTGCCAGGAGTACAAATATGACCATATCAACGAAAATACACGCCATCAATTGATACTTACTCATTCAATTTTAAATCGACATATCATCATGTTGGCCAGCTGTACAAATTTCTCCACGTCAACTTTTAGACACGTCATTATGTACTGTTTTGTCATCAATCAGTGTTAAGTGTTCTGTCTTGCCACATCATACAGAAACACCATCAGTTTGATATTCCCATGTAAACACGAGAACTTCACCTAATTGTGCCAGGTGTTCGTTATTGCCGTGTCATGGTGGAACATATCATCAGTTATGGATTACGTCATTTAATAAGCCAGCTGTACAAACATGCCACGTCAATATTTATACACGTCGCGTTATCTCCATGCAATCAATCACTACCAAGTGTCTTAGCTTACCACATCATATACATGCCATCAATCACTACCAAGTGTCTTAGCTTGCCACATCATATACACACGTAGTCCGTTATGGACCACGTCATTTAATAAGGCAGCTGTACAAACTTGCCACGTCAATATTTGTACACGTCGCATTATCTCCATGCCATCAATCACTACCAAGTGTCTTAGCTTGCCACATCATATACACACGTAGTCCGTTATGGACCACGTCATTTAATAAGGCAGCTGTACAAACTTGCCACGTCAATATTTGTACACGTCGCATTATCTCCATGCCATCAATCACTACCAAGTGTCTTAGCTTGCCACATCATATACACACGTAGTCCGTTATGGACCACGTCATTTAATAAGGCAGCTGTACAAACTTGCCACGTCAATATTTGTACACGTCGCATTATCTCCATGCCATCAATCACTACCAAGTGTCTTAGCTTGCCACATCATATACACACGTCATCCATTTGTGCCGGGTGTTTGCATATTGCAAAATTAGTTTTAACACATCATCGAATATTATGACACGTCACCAATATGAATCCACATCGCCACTAATTTGCCACATGTCGACATGGTCTTTCAAACACGTTAGCGATTAAGGTAGACATCCGAATAAATCGTCCGACGTCGATAAAGACGTTGGCTTTAGCAAATGCCAGTGCAAATTAAAACAAAGAAGCTATTTAAGCAATGAATAGTAGAGCCGATGGATCGGTGAAGATCAGCCGGTTTTCTCTAGTACCTTCTGATTTTATCGGGAAGATCAACCAGTGAAGATCAAGTTTTATTTGTAAGACTAAAGAAAATTAGGTGAATTATTTTATTAAGAAAGACAATGAACCAGTCGGTTATGAATAAGAGAAACGAATTGTTTACGGCAGCAACTGTTTTTTTTTTTTGGCCGTTATGAAATGCTCTCTTGGAGGTTTGTTTAATGCTCTCAAAATTCAATCTAAGAATTTTAGTGATTGTATATATTAAAAAATGAGTTTTAAAAATAAAATAGTTGTTAGGAAGTCAGAATTTAGTTTGCAGAGTTTCGTTTAAATTGTAATAATTAGACCAAACCGACAGGTTTTAAAAAATTTAACTAAATCAACCCATAAAATGTAATACAATTTACAACCAATCTCTCTCTCTCTCTCTCTCTCTCTCTCTCTCTCTCTCTCCGTCATATTAGTGAGAAAAAGTAATTAAACCAATAATCATTTTTGAACAATAGAGAAATTGTTTTCCTGTCGATCACGTTGTTCATTCTAACCAATAATAAAGAAGTTCCAACCAGATGGAAAGCTGCAAATTTAAGTAGGCGACAAGCTTTGCTTTAGGAATAATTAAAATGAAATAATACGTTAATTGGATATAAACTTGCACGGCTATCATTCCAAGCTTGCAGAGCAGCATGGAATCTTTAATTTCATCCACACAAATTATACTGTACTTGATGGTATCTCAACGATGTGGATATCTTGTTAAAGAATCAAAATACTAATTCCATTGTACAACTAATAACGTACAACTATATTCTTACGCTAATACAACGTATAATATTGTTTGAAATAATGTTGTCACTGTCGTGAGTCTTAAAATTTCTAAGCAATAATTGTCTAAACTGTTCACTGGTTTTGTTAGTTCTTTAGAAATTACCAATAATGGATATGCATTACAGAGAGAATATACTATCATCTCCCTAGCTCGCGAACTATAGTCTCGTTACTAAGCCACCTTTCGAACACGGTTACAAAAACGTAAGTACAGATCCTTTGTTAAATAAGTTTGATAAGCAAGTTCGAATTCAGCTTATTAAATTCATCAAAACAAATTCAAACGAAAATTTTCTCAAGTCAAGTCTTTGTCTAGTGATAAGCTAAGATAGGAACAAATAATATGCAAATATTGAACTTGATACTAGTCGTTAAGGAAGGTATTTCTCCATCAAGGTTTACCTTCCGTGCTATATTAGTCCTACTGTATCTCCCTTCGAAGTCTTTGTCATTTCATGTATGAAGAAAACCTGTTTCACATCAAAGAATCAATCATGCCAAAGTTTAAGTTATTTTGAATCAAAATTTTGAATTGATGAAATCATGGAATCTTAATTTCATAACAACACCCTAAATTATCAGAAGTATAATAGATGTTTTTGATTAGTAATGTAGAGTACCTTTTTTTTTTTTTTTTTTTTTTTTTTTTTTTTTTTTTTTTTTTTTTTTTTTTTTTTTTTTTTTGATTGAACCAAATCCCATGATTATTTATAAATGGTAAGTATATAATTCTTTCTATGAAATTTTTTTTTTCCAAGATCATTCTCAAGAGAAATCTAACATCATCTCTTTCAATTTTTAGTTTTATTATTCAAAATAATATAAACAACTCTTTTAATTTGTTAAATCTTGTAAGCAACGTTGAAAGGTACAAGTCAGTCACTATAGCTGACTACACCGAGAGAGGGACAGGTTGGTCTATAAAGTGCCAGATACCCATTTTAAAATAGCTGCATCCATTCAAAGATTCCTTCTGTATAGTTATAGATACTCTCTTGATACTATGACTAAAAAACAAAGCAAATCCATATTTCTGGTATTTGTGTTGAACATATTAACCATATGGGCTGTTGAACATATTAACCATATGGGCTACACAAACGGTTTGTCGTCCTCTTAACGAAGAATACATGTTAAAGAGGCATGAAGAATGGAGAGCCCAACATGGACGTGTCTACAAAGACACAGCAGAGAAACAGAAAAAATACCTGGTTTTTAAGGACAACCTTGAACGTATTGAATCCTTTAACAATGGTGTGGACCGTGGATACAAGCTAGGACTCAACAAATTTGCAGACTTAACAGATGAGGAATTTCAGGCCATGCACCTTGGTTACAAGAGCCCACCCTCCAAATTAATGTCCACTTCAAAGTCCAGATCCTTTAGGTACAGAAATGTAACTTCTGTGCCAACTACTATAGATTGGAGAAAGGCCGGTGCTGTGACCCCTGTCAAAGATCAAGGCTCCTGCGGTGAGTGCTGATATAATCTTAATATGTAAGGCAGAAGTAGACCTAGGATTTAGAACCTTAACTTGTCATACTATGAGACAGACTCAACCACTGTCCTATTGCTAAATAAATACACATGAAATTGAACAATGATTTTGATCTTAAAAATCATGCTATTGATGCATAACAGAAAAGAGCAATCCCCGCACCACAAATGAAAATTCGTTTCTAATAAATCATTTTTTAATGTTTAATGCATAGGAAGTTGCTGGGCATTCTCAGCAGTGGCAGCAATGGAAGGGATCACAAAACTCAAAACTGGCAATTTAATATCTTTATCAGAGCAAGAGCTCGTAGATTGCGACGTAGCAGGTGAGGATTATGGTTGTGACGGAGGTTTCATGGACACTGCTTTCCAATATATCCTAAAAAATGGAGGTCTCACGAGTGAGGCTAATTACCCCTACCAAGGAGAAGATGGCATCTGCAGCAAGAAGAAGACGGCAACTTCTACGGCTAAAATAACTGGATATGAAGATGTGCCATCTAACAGTGAAAAGGCTCTCTTGCAAGCTGTGGCAAACCAACCAGTTTCTGTTGCTATTGATGCTAGTGGGTATGACTTCAGATTTTACTCTTCTGGTGTCTTTAAAGGGGACTGTACTACTGATCTCAACCATGCTGTTACTGTAATTGGGTATGGTAGTAGCAGTGATGGTACTAAGTATTGGTTGCTAAAGAATTCATGGGGCACCGGTTGGGGTGAGAATGGGTATATGAGGATGCAAAGGGAAATTAGTGCAAAAGAAGGCCTCTGTGGCATTGCCATGAAAGCTTCGTATCCAACTGCTTGAAATTGAACAGCTTCGTATCCAACTGCTTGAAATTGAACAAGGAGAAGCATAATGGCAATAAATCCTATTTGATGTGTTAGTATCAGGAAATTTATAGGCTGTAAAATGTTCTGCTATCTGTGCTCATTCTATCTTTCATGCAGTTGTATAATTTCAGCAATATGTGTTTACTATCCATGCATAAAGGTTCATTTATTTTAGCTATCAAGTACCAACCTGTAGTGTAAGCAACTAAATTGCTATCAAAATTTGATATGACTTTTCAATTTTTTCAGGGAACATTGAGCAGAAAAAGAAAGGCATTATTGTCATGCGTTTGAGATCTGGTTAGACACTGATTAACACAAAAATAAGATTCTATATTAGATGAACTCTGAATTTGTTACTGTTTCTGCCTTTCAACAATGGTTGCTAGTTCAAGGACTAGTTAGATAAGAACCTTTGACCTCATTAAACAAAACAAGAACTTTGACGAAAATGACTACTGCTTGATATTCCGTGTTGTTCATTTCATAATAAACAGACATTAAGTCACAGTGTTGTTCATTTCATAATAAACAGACATTAAGTCACATAAAAACAAGCTAACTAGCCACTCTCCCACAACTGCATTCCCACTAGAAACCCACTATTAAAAGTGGAATATAAACACATGCCTAAAGAAACAACTTAATTACATAAATATAAACTGAAATAAAACAAATCAGACAAATTCAAGTCTTACCCCCTTTGCTCTTCCTTTTTTGATGCATGTATCTCTTGCAAACCCATAACCCAGCTGCTGCACTAGTTTTGCTATCTTTCTTCAGCTGGTGTTAGACTGTTAAGACAAAGGAAAAATAAAAGAAAAAAGAAAAAACAATGCAAGAATTGATAAATTAGATATGATCTAGTATGGCATTAAAAGAGCAATTGTAATAATGAGTATAATGCAGTTACCAAAACAAACTGGCTTCAGTATCCTTGGTGAAGGTTGAATGCCTTGCACAGAGAAACCACAGGTGATCAAATTCTGAGCTCACAACAAACTCACAAATATGCAATGGAAGGATCCGTTTACGACCATCCTCAACAACTGCAAGAGAGACCACCACATATATGATTAAAATCTACGTGATTGTGCAAAATTGTAAGTTTAAGTTTTAGATAGACACTTGACAATATTGTTAACAAGTCAAAACTGATTTGTTTCACCATATATGTGTTAACATCCAATATGCACAAGTCCAACTTATTTGTTTCACCATCAAATATGATTAAAAATTTTGATTAGAATGCTTCTAGAAATTCACAATGAATAAAAAAAACATAGAACTTCCAAAGCAAATAGTAGACAAAAGCAACTTTGTTTATCATAAATCCAACAACAACGGCCTCTAGATTGCATTATTCATATTTTTCTGAAGAATCATAATCAGAATCAACTAATGATAAGCTTTAAGAAAATAGAATCATAATATATTGTAACGTCCCTTCTCGGTCTACCCGTTAACCCGAATGAACCGAGCCGAGATGCTACAATCTGGTTAAACCTATGTTCTGTCATGCTGATATCATCCTGTAGGCTAGAGGCTAAAATATGATTGTCATGCTGTTGCTTTCCTACCTTATTTATATACAGAATATGTACTTCATATTGTACAGAGACTTTATACTATTTTTCAAAAATGAAATGGGCCCAACCTATGTCCCTGTACATGACATGATCAGTATATGACAAGAACCAAAATACAAATGAGTAGCTACCCTGAAGATCTGGGTCTTCAAAAGATGAACTGCAGCAATGTAAAGATGAACTCCTCTACAGGTCCAGACCCAAAACCCTGCGAGTTAAAACAGGTAACTGCTGAGCAAATAACTCAGTAGGTACTCAATTAAAGAAAAAAACAATAAATAAACATGTAAGCAACACATATCCTTATACTTTTCATGATCTTACCTGGTTGTTTCTTTGATGTGTATGAATTATGTAACTTTTAATGAAACCACTGTTTGACCACTATGCAACTTTAGTAAACAGCGTATAATTTTATAATAACTACAATCTCATCAAACTGTATGGCTTCTATAAAGGTTACAGTGAACCTAAGTGATAAGAAGAACTGATAAAATGAAAACTGATGAATACTTGCATGGCTGGGCTGGCTATGACCGTATATAAATCATATCCACTCAACGGCCTGTAGCCGGAGTGGAGTATCAAACTGTATGGGGCGCAGATCTGCTATCCTATATCGCGACATAGTCTTATCTACGTGGTTTCTACCTAACCTTAGTGGAGCATATTATCTGTATTGTCATAATACAAGAAACATATTAAAGTATGCATAAAATTTATAAACCATATTGTTTACCTTTATGTTGTCTCCTTCTGTACGTTGCTAACTTGTTTCAAGCTTTAAGAGCATAGACATATCTACTAGTCGTTTTACTCACATATCAAACTAAATTGTACATTTCTATATAGATTATGTTTCCTTATTTATTTCTTCTAATTTATAACTGCTAAATAAAATCTTCTAATAATAATAATCATTAAGAACAATACTATGAATGCTAATACTATTCGTTGAGTAGTATTTTATCATGATGAGAATACGAATAATAATAATAATAATAATAAATAATAATAATAATAATAATAATAATAATAATAATAATAGTCATATTACGAATAATAATAACAATACTACCAATTAAAACAGGTAACTGGCTCTCTACGGTCCAGACCCAAAACCTGCGAGTTAAAATAGGTAACTCGCTGAAGAAATAAGTTCAGTGGGTATCTCAACTAAAGAAAAAAAAAAAAAACATGTAAGCACACATATCTTTATACTTTCATGATTTTATCTGTTGTTCCTTATGCTGTATGAATTATGCAACTTTTATGAAACATTGTTTGACTTATGCAACTTTTAGTAAACAGCGTATAATTTATAAATACTACAATCTCATAACTGTATGGCTCCATAAGGTTACAGTGAAATCTAAGTGTGAATTCTAAGTGTAAGAAGGAACTGTATGAATTTGGATGAATAACGTATGCGCGGGCTGCTATGACCCGTATATACAATCAATATCCAAACGGCCTGTAGCCGGAGTATCAAACTGTACGGGGAGCAGATCTGCTATCCTATGTCGCGACATAGTCTTATCTACATGGTTTCTACCTAACCTTAGTGGAGCATATTATCTATATTGCCATAATACAAGAAACATATTAAAGTATGCATAAAATTTATAAACCATACTGTTTACCTGTATGCTGTCTCCTTCTGTACGTTGCTAACCTGTTTCAAGCTTTAAGAGCATAGACATATCTACTAGTCGTTTTACTCACATATCAAACTAAATTGTACATTTCTATATAGATCATGTTTCCTTATTTGTTTCTTCTAATTTATAATTGCTAAATAAAATCTTCTAATAATAATAATCATTAAGAACAATACTATGAATGCTAATACTATTCGTTGAGTAGTATTTTATCATGATGAGAATACGAATAATAATAATAATAATAATAAAATAAATAATAATAATAAATAATAATAATTAATATAATATAATAATAATAATAAATAATAATAATATATATAATAATAATAATAATAATAATAATAATAATAATAATAATATTGAATAATAATAATAATAATAATAATTGATAATAATAATAGTCATATTACGAATAATAATAACAATACTACCAATTAAATGTGTACCTTATATTAACCTACAATCATATTTCCATTACCTGTCTATACCATAACTTATAATTCCTACTAATTATATTTCTTAAAATTTCGACAATTAACATATATAATTAGTAGCTAGAATTCTTATTTATCACTGATATTCATGAACTCTATTTACCAATGTTCAATTTAATTCACTTATCAATGTAATTCACTTAAATACTCAAGTCATTCAATGATTCGGGATTTATTACCAATGTTCAATCAATTCACTTATCAATTTAATTCACTTAAATACTCGATTAATTCAGTGACTCGGGATTTAGTCAAAAAGTTCGAATTGAGTCTTAGAGTGTACCGACCGAAAATCGGACGATGAATCCACAGTCTACACGAAAAAAGGAGAATTCTGCCATTTTGGTGCCTCGCCGGAGTGTCGCCTGCCGATCGCCGGACCGCCGCAGTCGCTGTCGTGCACGGTGGCCGAAAAATCGCGGATGCCCAGAATGGACCATTCTTCACACCACCCCACTCATTTTTCATCGAGGAATCCATTTTTGGTATTAGTTGCACGAGATCGGCCCTCCATCTGGCCGAAACAGGCCCGACAGCAGCTTGGTGCCTCCATTAATGGTGGTTTCACCATTTTTCATCGGATGCGTGATTTCACAATGGAAAAGGGTTCGCACAGAGGAGGTGAGACGATCGGCACTGCTCGTCCAAGCTGCAGCCGCCGCAAATGGCGTGGATAGCCGACATCTTCATCGAGCGACGTTGAGTTCAAGTCGCGATCTTCCTCGATTCTGGCCTCTAGTCTGTGAATCGACACCACTAATGAGCTCCTCGTCGGGAAGTTGAAGAAAAAGGGTTTGGTTGCCGGAGTCCGTGGCAGGTGGCCGGAGATCGCAGTGAACAAAAAAGGAGAGGCTGTCGCGCGCGCTGGAGGAAAATGAAGGAGAAGAAAAGAAAAGAAAAGACAAGAAAAGAAAAATCTGGAGATTCGAGACCATTCCGGTTCGATTCGAATTAGTTTGATCCAATTCAATAATTTGGCTTGATTCGCTTGGTTTTCGGGTTTTTCCTGTTATTTTTGGGACCGGTTTGATTTATTTTCATGCCTACACTTTATACTTTATTTCAATTAGACTTTATTTCAATTAGGTCTTAATCCTTATCTTTCTTTTTTTTTTTTTTAAATTGAATCGATCCGACTCGACTTGACTCTCTACGTGTAACGACTCGATTCAGTAGGATGTCACATGTATTATATAACTTTTATTGTTGAAAAGAGTTATGACATTGTTAAACTCGAAAAACCCAAGATTTCAAATTAAACCCACAAAAAACACAAACCACAAATCAAAACCACAGAGTAAAAAAAACCACAGATAATATCACTCACATATTACTGGCGAGCTTCATTGGCATCATCACTCACATATTACTGGCGAGCTTCATTGGCATCATTAGTTGAAGGAGAGGATTCAGAAGAAGAATTCTCTTTCCTGAAAGAGGGCAGAGGGTTCGGGCCCTGATAATCCAACCTAGAGCGAAGAACGAGAGACACGCGAGAATTGATGT